TCACCTATAAAGTGGGGATAGCAATCTTTACCCTAGCCAACTCCCAGGAACAAGTGAGGAGAGAGAAATAGTGGTTGTGCCAGTGCTTTGAACTTGCAAAGGGATCACCATGAACATTGCGAATTATTCTCTAGTGATGGTGGCAGCAGCTTACCTGTCTCCAGTATGCAGCCTGGAGCAGGCCTTGCTGGAGGATGCATGGATAGGGGAAGCTGATGATCTCTGGTTGGGTGTTGGTTTGATTAATCACAAGGAGTGGCATCTGATAGACAAAAGAGAATCAAGGAAATCTGTAGGTGAGGGTTTTAGAAGAGGAAGAGTGATTCTTGGACATTTAGATCTTACACTGTTTTGGTGTGATCAGGCTTCTAGAAAAATGAGTGGGAGAAAATGAAGGGAATTAGCATTCCCAATGGCAGAATGTGGCTGGTTTTCCAGGAACTAAAGTTCTAGAGGGTGGGGCTAGCACTTGGCTAAGCCCTTCACTCAATCCATTCATCTGTTAACTCATTCATTCATTCAGCAAATACTCATTGGGTACCTAACAAGGTAACTGCCAGGTACAGAGCTGGGCTATAACAAAAATAAAATACTAATCCTGCCCATAAGGACCTTCCAGACAAATAAGAAAAAAAGAGTATGTACACAAGTAATTTACTGAAGGAAGAGAGTGTCATAAATAAAGCAAATTTTCTGTGGTGTTCTGAGGGGAGAGATTCTGGCCTGGAAGACCTGGGGAAGGCTCTGTGGAGGTGGGGTGGGCAGGTTTTGGGTCTGCAGAGATGGCAGAAGAGGACTTGCTGAGGATGATACAATGTGAGCAAAATCTGTGGGTGGCCAGGGTGCCTGAAAGGGAGCAGCAAGCGAGACACTGGCGAGACTGGGTTTTGACTTGGGATGGCTGTCTGGGGAGACTGCATGGGTCAGAGAAATTATCCTTGGAAGACTCAACTAATCTTTTTCTGAGATGCTCCTTCCCCCATTTCTGGCAGGTAGGGGTTCTTACCTGGGACTTCTGGAATCTCCTGGCTTCCTTTTTACCTGGCCAAATCCTACCCACGGTCTGAAGGCCAGCTTGAAATGCTTCACCCAAAGGTCCCCCCACTGTCCCCAAAAGGCTTCTGAACCAGAAGGCACAATTTTGCAAAGGTTTTGTGGTCTTCTTGCCTCACCTATTGAGTAAGCAATCTGAAGGCTAGAAACGCATCCTTTTGCTTCCCTGCCACAACTCTAGCACAGGTGAACTGATGCGCACACCCACACACAGCCTCCCCTTAATCATTAACCTTATTGTACTAACTACTGCCTCCCAGGGCTGGTTCCCAGCACATTTAGCGTCACACAAATCTCTGAACCAATGCTTTGCCACCTCTTTTTGCTGTGTGAGCTTGAACAAGTTTCTTGACCTCTCAGTGTCATTTTCCTCATTTGCATGTTGGTAATAATGCATGGCACTTGGTAGGAATGTGGCAAATGATAGTCATTAATTATTACTATTATTGCTTCTGAGAGCTGGCAAGATCACATGGTCCACAGACCCCTGGGCTGAGTTTCAGTTTTTCTTTTAATTTAGTCATCTCCATCTGCCTCCTTCTGTTGTGTCCTCCTTGGGTTTTTCCCGTCACCACTCACTGGGTCTGCCTGCCTTTTCCCTCCAGGCCAGCTTTCTCTTCCCTCAGAGAGCCCACTGGGGGCTGGTTCTCACTGGCTAAGAGTTGTCTGTGCCTTGCTCTCCATCAGTCAATAAAGATAAATTACAAAATCATTTGTTTTATTTGTTCTTGTTACCTTGAGGGCTGTCTGAAATTGCCTTTCTTTAGAAAGCCACATTTGCATATCTCCATGTTAGAGTCAAAGGCTGCAGCTGTGGTTTCACTGCAATTTAAATATTAATAAAACCTCCTAAACCTCTAGCTGGTTTTTTAAGCAGTCTGGCCCTTCTGTTTCTAGGTTGCTGATAGAATTTAATCTTTGTCCTTTGCTTTGTATTTGTTTAAAGGGCCATTTTGGTGTCAACTGAAGCCAGATGCTGGAACCTTATAGATAAGAACTAGTAACCCACAACAAGGAAGATCTACCTTGCTTGAAGACAAAAGCATAAACCATAGGTAACATTTTATACCAGTTAGCAGCCACTTACATTAAGCCAGAGGTTCTCAAACTTGAACTTGCTTCAGAATCAGATTGCTGGGCTCTATCCAGTTTCCCATTCAGCCGGTCTGCAGTGAGGCCCTAGAACTTGCATTAAGTTCCCAGATGAGTCGTTACCCCACCACGGTTTGAGAATCATTGCACTATGCTGCATGCCTTTTCATTCTTGGTCTTTGAAACTAGATCTCTAAAGTTGTTTGTTGGCCCCCATAATATGTGTGTTTCTCCAGTTCTCCACTCCTTCTAGCTTCTCAGATTGTTAGATTTTCCTGCTCATTCAGACACATTTCAGGATCAGCAACCTCTGCACCTCCCCAATCCCTGCTCTCCACAGGAGCTGGCTGTCTCCAGTTTGCTTTAATTTTCTATTTGCCCAGATTCATTTATTTAATTTTCTCCTTATTATTAGCAGATTTACAGGCTGTTTGAGGGAGTTAAGCATCTCTGAAGTATGGTGAAGGGGCCTCTGGCTCAGCCATTTCACAGCCTTTGATAAGCAAGCCCCCCTGGTCCCTGGCCAGCAAGCCCCATTCTCTCAGGTTTCTGTGGGTAGATTTGCAGTTCCCCATCACCCTGCCCTTCTCTGTGCTGCCTGCCTGCCTCTGGGGCTCCCCTTATCTGCTCCTCACAGCCTTCACAGGATACATTCTGGGCAGCCTGACTCCTGCTCCAGCCATCCCAACACTGATTCCTTTCTTTTTCTCCTGCATGTTTTGAGCTGATACTTTGTTGATGACTCTGGTTGCATTTTTCAGGAGGGAGATAATCTACCAAGCTCTTCTCTAGGCCCCTTCCCTGAATCTTCCTGATAATCCCTCCTCTTCTCCTGCCTTTTCTGCTCCTTTGCAGAAGTTCATTTGATGAAATGAGATAAAGGCAGTACAGGAACTAGTTCCCAAAATGCTGCTGTACCCAGGGAGAGCTAAAGATTGTGGGATGGACAAGTGGGAGGACATCTTAAAGCCAGAGGTCAAAGGAATGAGTAGATTTACTCCATCATGAGTTAAGGCTCTTAAACCTGGCCAAGCGTCATGCATCCACAGCCAGAAGTTGACTTCCAGGAAAGGTTATGCCCAACTTGAAAAACAGATGGAGTAGACATTTGTTGGGATAACTTGAGAGACAATTAAAGATAAGTTTTTAATGTGTGTCATCATTAGGCTTTCCCCCAGGATTCCTGTGAAGGTAGGCTGTACTAAGATGGATGTTGCTTTTCCTATTAACTCATCAGTGATGGGGGCAGCAGGCTGTGGCCTGGCTCACCCCCAGGGCCCAGAAAGCCATGGTCTGTCACAGGAAGTGAGACACTGGAAGTGACTGAATATGGGCCAGTAGCACTTGCTTCTTGCCTGTCTTAACTGCTGATACTAAAACCTGTGGACTCCCTGGCAGGTAGACAGGAAACTAGCATGGGCCCTAGAGAGATCGTGCTGTAGATGAGGTTGAACCCGGAGGCTCTGACAACTGAAAGATGAGCAAGCATAAGATGAGAGGCTGGAAAACAAAAGCCATGATCCAACCCTGTATGTCCCTTTGCCCAGGGCTGCTTTCCCAGAGCTGCCACTTGGAGGCAGGAACCTTCTACTGCCTTCTACCATGATCCATAAAAGAAGCTAGAGTGCTAGTTCCTCTCACAATCCACTCCTCTCCCAAAATTCCCTTGAGGCTTTAACGGGTGCATTCTGACCTGGACTCAGTGACTGATGCAGGTGGATAGCTGAATGATGGGATGGAAAGGGCATGGATTCAGATCTCTGGGCTGTCATTTATTAGCTGTGTAAACTGAGCAAAATCTTGTATTTTCAGTTCCTATTCTCTAAATGAGGTGAGCATTATCTACCTCATAGGGCTGTGATGAAAACTAAATGAGATAAAAATGTAATGACAGGTCCATTTTCTCTACTATTCCCTCACCCACCCACCCTTTTCACAAATATGGCAGTACTGAATTGTGTAGGAATTTCATTCTCTGACTTAAAGAGGATTTTAAGCTCAGAACAGTGTGAAGACCAAGAAATGATGATACAGACTTTTATCTGTGGATTAAGCATGTTAAATAGGAGTTGTCAGAATTCCAAAGATGTCTTCCCTAGATTTCTGTTCCCTGGTTATTCAATCAAACGGTAACTAGGTACTGCTATGAAGGAACTTTGCAGCTGTAATTAAGTTAGGGACCTTAAGATGGGGGAGACCACCCTGGATTACCTGGTGGGCACAATCTAACCACCTGAGCCCATAAATGCATAAACTTATTCGACAGGAGTTAGAGATGCAGCAGAGATGAGGCAGAAGGGGAAGTAAGAGAGATTCCAAATTTGAGAAAGACTTGACCAACCATTGCTGGCTTTGAAGATGGAGATAGGGGGTTATAAGCCTAGGAATGGGGATAGCCTCCAGAAGGTAAGAATGACCTCTGGCTGAGAGCCAGCAAGGAATTTTAGGGATCTTAGTCCTACAATTTTAAGGGACAATTCAGCCAAGGACGTGAAGTGAACTTGTAAGCTGATTCATCCCCAGGGCCTCTAGAAAGGAACACAGCCCTGCTGAAACCTTTATTTTGGCCTCGTGAAACCCAAAACAAAGGAACCAGCTGAGCCGAGTTGACGTGACCTACAGAACTGCGAGATAATAAATGGGTACTGTTTTAAGTCACTGACAATTTTGACAATTTGATGATTTGGTATGGCAGCAATAGAAAATGAATACAAAAGGTACTTAAGTCCCCCTCAACAACCCTAGAAGGTAGGTGTTATCACCACCATTTTATAGACGAGGAGAAGTGCAGTGAAAAGGCTCTGAGAAAGCCTGCAAGTTGTAGCCTCAAGAGTCATACTCGCCGAAGTGTTTGCTACCAAGTTTATTTGCAGGTGAACAGCACATTTACAGAATATATTTTGTACAATCAAGTCTGCACTGCCCTCACACACTGGGGGGCTAAGGAAGATGCAGTCCTTCCAACAGCTATAAACAGTCCGGATAATGAGTTTATGAGAAACACTTTCTCTCCCTTCAGCACACGAAATTATTTATGAAGCTGTACAGTTCAGCAACAGGGAGGCAAAGGGAAAAAATTACCTCAAGGAAAGCAACCGCTCCTTTCCTGGTGGGATCTGTCATTTGTAGACATGAAATATTCATAACCAAGATTTTGTATTTCAAGAGGAATGGGTTACATATCAGAGCTACAACACTTCATTTATTACTAATGGGGAATTAGAAGACTCTCTTTGGACACCAGTTCTTAGAGATTCTGCTGTTTCAGAGCACATTAGTGCTAAGAAATTCATTAGAAATCAAGCAACTATAGCCCACACTTAGTGGAGATCAGGGTCAGCATGACTCCCCTCTCTTCTAATTAACCCTCAAGTTTCATATTTATATCCATTACCTGCTACTAAAATTCCTTCCCCAATGTTCCACTCCAACATTTGAGAGCTACCAGTGGACTGTTCTGATTTTAAGTCACATCACATATCCCTAAGTACTCACCTCCCATTGAAGGGTCTGACTCTTGGCCTTTATGAACACAGGGTTTTAGAGAAACAAACTTAGGGAAGCAGCTTTTCTCCTAAGGCCAGCAACTCTGTGCCTCCAGCTCTTAAGCCAACATATCCACTAAAGGGAATAGGGCTGATAAATAATGAATCAGCATCTTGCTCAACTGGTGGGGTTTAAATGGTTTTAAATTCTTTTCAGGTGAAAAATTACCACAATTTTGTGCTCATGGCAGATTCAAAGGGAGACTGGAAGCAGAATATCTTTAAGGGACCCTTGCATAGCCAGAAGTTCTTTTCAAGCTGATGTACATAAAATATTTATTAACCAGGCCTGTGGAAGGACTAAAGTGGAGCTCCCAGGGCCTGGAAAAGGGCCATTTCTTAGGCTCATTCTTGGGGTCCTATGAAGACAGGCCCTACACATGACACACGCGGCTGGCTGGAATCAGCAGCAGCTCTCTCTGGGGATCTGGGGTATCAGGTAGGTGTCCAGCTCCTGGCATTGGTAGAGGGCTACGCTGTCCAGTACCCACTCTCGTGTCACCACAGATGCCTCACACACCTGCCCAATCACTGGGGACAGAGAACACAAGCAGAGATTAGTATCAATCCATATTTTCCCCCACCAGACTTATGTCAATTCACTCTGGGAACCTGGCTGTACAGTTCCCTAGGGTTACTCAGGTAGGAGCAAAATGACTGATCTTGAGCAATGCTCTAGGACACAGGACCTCACTCAGAAGCTTGACGAGTGACTGCCAGAAAGCTCACAGCTTCTGAAACATTATTAACATGTTAAAGCAAAAGTCACCAGAGAGCAAAGAGCATTGCAATTAAATGGTGTGAAAACATGTTTGCAATATCTTAAGTGAGAAAGCAAAACAGTATGGCAAGCATGATCATATTTGTGTAAAATATGTGCACATACATACATGTACATGCCTGGAAGAATTTTATGGTGATATCATCCCTGAGTGGTGGGATTACTGCAATTATTATGTTTGTGCTTATTTATGCTTTATGTGATGAACAATCACATTTAACCCTCCCAGTGGAAATAATTCATGTATTACTTGTATAATACAAAATAAATAACAGAAGTTTTAAAAGGACATTTTAGCCATTCATTCATTTGCTCAACAAATACTTATTGAGCACGTAGAATGTGTAACTGGTGGTAAATCAAACATCCCTCAGGACCCCATATGACACAGACACATGCGCTGCCCTCTGAAGCCCCACATAGGTGCACTATGCATGCCAGCTGATCTAACAGGACTAAAATCACCATAGTAATCTTCTTACTTATCCTGGGCCCTCTACCCCGTACTCCTCTGGATGAAGGCTTACAGAAAGACTCACATTGGAAGCCACTGTCCTCTGTCCAGGCATCCGGTTGCACAACCACAACTGGGTGAGTGCCCTGTATCCCCAGGGAGGAAACAGTATTGAGGCTATCAGAGCAGAACTTTCGGAACAGTCACTTCACCACTTCTGGATGGCTGGCTGAAGCAGACTGCTCTGGGGCAACCACAGAAAGGGGGAAAGGGTATGTGGCAAAAAGGAAGGGTTAGAGGAGAGAGCCCTCCCTCAATTTATTAAACATTCGGAGTTCAAAAGTCCCTTAAGATGGGAGTCTTCTGGCTCCTGTACGTGGTCAGACAAGGCTTAGGGCAAAGAGAGGCTTCAGGGACGGATGGTTGCTAGCCTTGCTCAATCACAGGACAGAATATTGTGTCCTTTCCCTCTGACAGGGTACCAAACGCTTACCTTGCCAAAGGTGAATGATGAAGGCTCCTTCACCACAGAAGCTCCACATAGATGCACCATCCACTCTAGCCGATCTAAATAGGACATTTAGACTTAAAATCCCTACAGTAATCTGCACTTTTAACCTGGGTCCTCTACCCCTTAACTCCTTTGGATGAAGGCTTAAAGAAAGACTTCTCAGTGGGAAAATCTTCATCTCTGCTCCAAAGGGATGGAAAGGCCTTGAACTAGAATCTGTGCTAGGGGAATGAACTGTAAGTCAATTTGCCAGTGATATACTACCTATTCTGGTTACCAGTTTTCATAAAGCCACTGGGTAGATAAGGTTTAACAGTCTCTCAAGTAAAACAGTTCAAAAGAAAAAAAAAATCCAAGATCTAATTTCCATTAATTTGCTAAATTGTTGGCTAAGATGCTGTGAAGAAACACCTGCCTGCCTTCCCTCCTTCTCTGCCCAATTCTGTGTTAGTAATTGATAATCATGGCCACTGAGAGCACCATACTTACTGGTAATTACTGTAAATGTCAAGACATAGGAGGATAATTCATTCAGTAAAAGAAAAATACATGTCATCCCGGACAGAGACTGAGCACATCAGCAGAGAAAGGCTACCTGCTGAGTTGGAATCAATACACTTGGGGCAACAGAAATCAGAAGAGACTGTAGAGGTGTTCTACTTGCAACTGGAAAAATCAGCAGAACTGAACAATGGGTGGTTCCTGGGCTCCTCTGCGTGACTCTTCCACAAACCCATTTCTGGGACTTACTGAGGTGCTCCTATCTGTCTGACTGAACTCAACTGACACACCTCCAAAAGCACCCTGTTAGGGGCCCTGATTTTCACTACACCAAAGAGCAAAAGGAGAGAAACCTTTGCATGGCACTTGGAAATTTCATGAAGATCCGATCAATAACCAATAAAGAAGACAGAAGCAAAATTATTTTGCCAGGCTGTCTTGCTGCCACTCAGCTGTCCCTGACCAGATGCCAAGGCCATCTTCTGAGGAATAAGAGGACCTGATCCCTGGGGCAGAAGTGGGCAAACGTTAGAAAAGAATAACCCAAATCTATACACACACCAGGGCCTCAGTGCTGCACTATTTCAGAGCTGAGACCCATGGCCTCCTAAATGTAACATATCATTCAGTGTCAACTTTAATTAGAAAATGTTCATCAAGACCTTCCCCTGCTCTGGGCCTATGTGGGGCCCTAGGCCCACAGCGCTTAGGCAGCTGCTGTGCTTTCTTCTGTCTCAAATGAAGATGGTCTGGAAGAGCACAATTCCTTCTTGACATTTACAAGCCCCAAAGTTAGCTTCTCCCTACCTTTTTTTGAAAGCTTTTTTAAAAAAAATTGAAGTAGTTGATATACAGTATTATATTGGTTTCAAGTAGTGATACAACTCTCTTATTTTCCCCCCAAAGGGCTGTAAGAGCAGCTCTGTCCCATCTGAGTACAGAATATACTGTATCCTAGATGCCTTCTAGCTCTTGAGAAGGAGCACAGGGATAGTGTTTTTGCTGTAGGGCAACATTAGTACAGTTCTGTCTGACAGGTGGTAGAGAAATAGAATAACCTCTAGAACACCTCACTAATCTGAGGATCCCCCAATAAGGCAATCTCTCCTGAACACTCCACTATGGGAGGCAAAGGCTGGTGCTGGATTCTGCAGTTCTCTCAGTCTCTTACCTGTAGGCATGTTGGTAAAGGGCCCATAGCAACAGATTTCTAGGCCTCTGAAGATCTGGGAGCAGAAAGGGATAGAAACATGGAGAAAACGAAACAGTTAAAAAACAACATAAAGAAGCCTCAAAAATGAAAAACTTTTTTTTCCTTTTCTTTACCATCTGACAATTTCTCCTACTTCCCGGAGATAGTGAGTCCAATGTTCAGACACTGATACATTTTAGAAGGCTTTTTTGAAGTATGCATGTAGGTGATCTATTCTACAGTCATTGTAATTCAAGGGCTGAGCTCTTTGCCCCCACTCAGGCCCAGGCTCTTCCCTGATGACCTTTGCAGGTGATGTCACTTCTTAATACAAATGAGAAGAGAAAAACTGGTCTTCCTTTATGTTTAATAAAAGGCTTAGATGACAAGAAATTCAAGCTGTTAGATGAAGTTTGATGTTTACCTAGACTTGGTACATCAATACCAACCATGACCCTGGTTGGCAGACATGTCCCTGATTTTTTTATGTGTACATGTTCCTTTTCTCCTCTTTCTTCTATTCCCTGAACATCTGTTCCTGCCTTCACAGTGCTCTGACAATGGCCACTGTTTCTTCAGGCAAACTCCTAAGTAGTTTTTAATCTAGAAGTGAAGGCTGGTTTTGCCTGTTCTCACTGAGCTAACTTGACTACCCGGTTTCCAAAAGATACAGGTCACACTGTACTTCCTAGGTGCCTCTTCCACATTCAGTGCTCAAAATTGCTATTCAAAAACCTTTCTGTGATGATGGTAATGTTCTCTACTTGTGTTAATAAGGTGGCCACAAGTCACATGCAGCTACTAAACATTGAAATCTGGTTAGAGTGAGTAAGGAACTAAATTTCATACTTTATTTAATTTTAGTTCTCTAAAACTTAAGCAGCCTCATGTGGTTGGTGGCTACTGTGTTGGACAGGCAAATCCTTACACACGCATTGGCACAGGTTCTTAGGGAAGGACTTGGGAATCATTTAAAAGAAGACATCTAAGTTTGTGACAGAAATCCAAATCAGCTGGGTAACCCTTGTTCTCATGGCCTTCTTCCCCATTCCACTAAAAAGAAAATTGCCTAGGCCTAGAACTCCCCTTGCTTCAAACAAGAGGGACTGGGATAGAGAAAAAGTAGGAAGTTAAAAACATAATGGCTAGAAGAATAAGAAAGGACAGTAGGACAAGTCTGTTTCTGTTTTAAGTGACAGCCTCCATCTCTGCCATTCTTACTATCTGTATAAATTGCATCTGCAACCTGTTGACAGGACCTAGATGCTCATAATGCTAAAAGTTCTCCCAGGCATCCAGCTGGAGCCAATGTTGCTGTGAAAAGTATAAAAGATTAGGAATTTTTACATCTAGGCTGACACTCACTGATGAGAATGTCAAGCTATGAGATAAGAAATTTGAAGTTTCACCTCTACAAATACATCTTTCTTCCTCAGGAAAATACTAGGGTGACATTTAGTATCTTCAGGATGTCCTTGCTTGGTCCAGGCACTTGCCAGCATTGCCATCCCCAGTGCAGGAAAAATCCAAAACATTGCAATTTCCTTTGAAGGAGGGCAGAATCTGGTACTAATTCTGTAGTGCATACAGTGGAATAAAAACAAATAGCTGGCTCATACAGAGCTCCCCTGCGAAGGCAGAAGCAGAAATAGAGCCAAGCAGCTTTTCTTGGCATCTGGAAGTTACTTGATAAGCTCATAGGATGAGGGTGGGCTGACCCCGAGGGTTCAGAGCTCTCACAGAGCAGTTTTCCTTAGAAAATCACCTCTACTGGTTCCCTCTTAAGTTCTCTACGGGGACAGAAGGTGCTCCATATGGGATGTTCAGAAATGCCCAGCAGTGCACACAAAAGGAAGGACTGCAGGCCAGGAATGTAAGGGCTTAGTCAGTGACCTGAGAAAGTAGCCAGCCCAGGCCTGACAGGCAGGTGTGAAATCTTGCCTGGACTTCTCCCTGAGAGAACAACATAATTTTGACTACATCATCTGCTGCAGTATGACCTGGGAAAGTCACTGTGTCTTCCTGGGCCTCTGGTCTCCTTCATTTGGAAATTGTTCATTAAAATACCCTATCTTTCTCCTCTGTGAAACCTGCTAAAACTTTCCAAGAAACAAAGGTACTGTCATTAAGAGCTCAGATTCTAAAGTTAGACTGCCTGGGTTCAACTTCGACTTATGGCTTCACGACTAGCTGTGTGAGCTTGGGTAATATAAGCAACCTCTTTGAGCTTTAAAAATAGGCATGATTATAGTACACACCTCATGGGGTTGCTGTAAAATTATTAATTAGTTAAAATACAGTTGAGTGTTACAGTAGTGGAATATAGTGAACAAGGGGCAGAGTAGCAGCCCCCTCAGAGGGTGACAGGGAAGATTAAAGAAAAAAAAAGCGTGTTCCCACAGACAGGGCTGTATACAGGCCCTCACAGCACCTACCACACTGCTCTGAGGAAAGACACTATGGTGAAGTAAAAAGGAGCAAGGTCTTTAGATTCACATGCTTCAAATCCCAACTCTGCCACTTATCAACTGAAATCTCAACCTCAGATTGGAATCCAAATTACACAGCTTCTCTAAACCTCTAACTTCTCTCATTCATAAAAAGGAGATAATACTTACCTACCTTGTTGGGCTATGAGAACTAAAACATAATCTAGATGAAAGCACCTCCTGGTGCTGTAGCAGTGAGTATGTTAACACCCCTCACAAGATGAATGGGACCATCTCTACGAACGAACGGGCCAGAATGCAGAGGGGTGGGAGGGGTTTTTGGCAACATGGGGGAGGAGGGTTTACCTCTCTGTCCTGGGATTCTCTTGCTCGCTTTGGGCCTTGGTGGTTTCTTCCATTGACAACATCTCCTCTGACTTCAAAATCATGCTGAAAGAAACCAAACCCAAACCACAGGGATCAGAGAGAAAGATGAGATTCCTTCAGCAGAAGCAGAGTAGGTATATCACATTTAAGGAATTCAATATTTCCAGGCACAATTTCGATACCCCACCCTGCCAAAAAAATAATTCGTTTTGTGGGCCAGATGAAATGACCAGTATTTCAGCTGCTGTAATCAATTCACTGAAGGAAATCTTTGTGGGCAGAAATTAAAAATTGCCTTTTCACCTCACTAGGACTTAATGTATTTTAATTTTCAACATCTATCTCCTCTCAAAACATTCACTTAGCATTTAGATTAAACTGCTATAATTATGCTATTATAAAAATAACTGTAGAATTCCTGATCCCTTAAATCAATTGTGTATTACCATTTAAAGAAATAAGGGCTTCTCAGATTTCCATTGAGAGATTTACAGTTAATGAAATCAAAGTGATAAAATATACATTTAATATACTTAAGAAAGGTAGAAGATAATCACTATTTTGACTGGTCAAGGATGAGGGAATATAAAATATGAGATTGGGGAGGTTAGAGAATTTTGGGGTAGAATGCTTAGAAACAATTCTGACCGAGACTCAGAGTATAGGGAAGACCACACCTGTTGTCAAAGGTATTATGAAGAAAAATAGTCATTAGTATAACCACAGGATGTTATTAGGTGAAAGAACACTTAACACCTCCTAGTTACTTGAGTGAGGAGAGTCTGGTGATAAGTATGTCATCTATTTGAAGATGATCCTCAAATTTATAGTCCTGATTGTACCCCATGCCTACTTAACCTCCCCGCCCATATATCAAATATAAACCTCAAAATTCACACATCTAAAACAGGGCTCTTGATTCTACTCCTACTACTTGCTCTTTCTCCCTCTTGAGTATGTTCCTCCCCCCATAACTTGCTTTTCTGATTTAATATTACTAACATCCACTCCACCACTCAGGCCAAAAACCTACCGTTACCCCCTCAATTTCTCTCTTTACCTCATCCTCCAAATTTAACCCATTGGTAAGTTCCACCTCCAAACATATCTTAAACCAACCTCTTATCATCTCCATGCCTCCAATTACACTATGAATAAAATTCAGATTTCTTTCCATGAGCTATATGAAATTCTACCTGATTGGGCCCTTGTCTACAATCTTTTCTAATTCCCTGTGTAAGTTCTGCTCCCTATATCAGATTCACAGTTACTACTCTCTAGCTACCCTGGCCTTTTATTCTTTAATAAACCAATACATTCATTCATTTTTTTTTTCTACCGGCAGTGATAGAAGGCAAAGTTCCTCCTATTCAAAGAGAGGGGAGGGGGAGTGTGGGCAACCTCAGAGAGAGAGGACGTTACCCTCTAGCCGTGGGGACTGCTACCCCTACCTTATGGCAGGGTAGATTCCAATACATTCATTAACTCCAGACCTTTATGTTTACTTTTCTTCTGCTAATAACAATTATTCCCTATACTCTTGAAGGCCAATTATTTCTTGTCTTTTAGGTCTCAGCTTAAGCTTTACAGAAAGCCTTCCCTAGTCTCCTTAACCTAAGCAGGAAGCGTCTTCCCTGGTCAATTGCTAGTCTGTTGTTTTGTATATTTCTTGATAACAATTATTGGTTATCTTAAATGCACCTTTATTTATTGTGTATCTCCTCTTAATAGAGGATGAATCCTACCAGAGCAGAAACTTGTCAGTCTTGTTTACTGCTATTCCTGGTGCCCAGCACATAGTAGGCTCCCAATAATATAAATCACTGAATGAAATTTAAAACCAACAAAAACACCAATTAATTAATTATGAATATGCTGAATAGTGCATACGTTTTAAATTGCTTTATTGCTTTTGCTTATTTTATTTGCCTGATCTGTTGTCAGCAGCAGCTTAGATGACTGTTCTAAAATTATTCCTCCTCCCCCACTCTATCTTATTTACCTCACTGTTCTCAGTATTATAAAGAATAAGATCACTTTAAAGGAATCTGATTTCTCAACAGATACTCTATTTGCATATTAATATGAAGAATTAATATTCTTCAACAATAATGAACAACCAGTTCTCTACCAAAGTGTATGCAACGAAGATTTAGGTGGGCCTATTTCTTGTGCTTATGAATCTTTTCTTTCTGCTTTATAAATTCCTTTTCCTTCCTCCAAAGAAAGGATTGTTTCTACTGAAACTTAAACAAGTGAGAGCACAGAATTTCCTGGTTTGCTTTGCAGAACTCTTGATAATGCATACTGTCAAGGAAAATCCTTGCAAAGTAGTGCAAGGAAGGAAGCAGATAAATTTTTGGTGACTGTGACTCAATGGTGTCAAGTATGATTCGTTTGTAACATCAAGTACTTACCTCATCTAGCACCTTTCTTTCTTTAATACACTGGGTCACCCCTAAAGAGATCACAGAAAAGACAGGTCACAGGAAGCAGAAGAACATGCTGTTTTCATGGAGATGGATGGTGAAGTGATTCACGTAAGAGCATGGGAGGAGTAAATCCGAGTAGGGGCCTCTCTAAAGAAAGCCACAGCTCCTTAACAGATTTCCTTCTGGAGACACAATCGATGTTTAATTTAAACATTATAAAGGTGCCTGCTGCACATCAATTTCTGCCTACTATTAAATAAATCCCTAGTTCCTATGCTAACATTACTAGAAGCAGATTAGGTCCTATTAGTTATAAAAGAACTCCAATTTCCCCAACCTCACGAGCTTATCTGAACAAAGAGCTATACATTAAAGATAAAGCTAGTTTAGCGTTATCATTAAAGACCTTTTGGTAATTCAGCTTCAGCATCAGCAAAAACCTCAGGTGTTAAAATGTTAGGTGTAAAAATGTAATTCTGAGGTGTTAAAGGGAGTAAGGGAGAAATTATATTGTACTTACAGAAATAGCTAACTACCCATTTTCCTCCTGCAATTCCCAGAAAATATTTCAGTGTCCGTTCACACACAAACTCAGCATCTGCAGAAGGAAAAACATCAAAAGATCAGTAGAAGTTGAAAACAAAATCACGAAATACTTCCATAAGCAGCTGAAGAGCCCCAGATCTTTATGCTACTGAGCTTGACCTGAATTGATGATTCCAACACCCCTGCTGACAGAATCAGAGGTGGAAAGTACCCTAAATCACAACCGGCAGGTGTGGATCTCTCGAAGTCTGGAAAAGGCTGATACAGAGTTAAGACCACAGGAAATGTCTGCTCTGCTCACAGGAAATGTCTGCTTTGCTCTATCTTCTAGGTGCCAAAACTGGCTGAGATAACAATCACTGCGTTCAAGGAATTATCCACGTCAGTAGTACGGATACATGCTTGGACAGTATGTATTTTCCTGGATGGTAATATGTACAAGGAGAAAACAGTATCATTGAAGTCCTAAATCTAAAATCAATGTAAATAATAAATTTTCACCTCCGGGACTTCTGCCTGCCGAATCTAGCCTCCTAATTCCAAATCCCTCTGTGCGGGACAGGAAAATAAGAGTATTTTCATAGCTTTTCTCTTTTCTACTTAAGATTTCAGAAAGCTGTAGCTGGAGAATCACTTGTTAATTTCTTAGCGTTTCAAAGTCCCCTTGAAGAACAAAGCAAACTGAGGAAATAATACTTAGTTTTAAACAGGAGAAATGTACATAACTAAATCCTAAACACAGCAGGCCATCTTTCAGTAGTGGCAAAGTTCTCCTTCACAGAATTCTTCACAAATTAAAAAAAACTTCTTTCTTTCTTCACAATGTTTAAAGCTTTTTGTTTAACTGCTTTAAAAGTTGACTTAATAACATGCTTTAAACTCAGAAATTTTAGCCCATTTTTCGTTAGGAGTAGCAAATGTTACATAGCTTTTTTGAGTTTGAAGATTGAACTACTTTAGATTTAATTTGCATTTTGAAGTTTTCTTTTTACCTTTCAGCAGCTTTGATCCAAAACTATAGCTTAAAATATATTAAACTTTAATGACTCTCATCTCTAAAGCAGTACTTAGACCACAGTACTTTGTTCTGTTGGCTGGTTCCTGTGAGCATTATCCTCTGACTCGAGGTATGATCTTTACACAGTAGAAACCTAAGATCTTAGAGGTCCTAAGGCAAGGTATCCCTGCCAAGGAGCCTGGACCCTATGCTCAAGCACCTGTAGCTATGTGAACAGAACCTTGCTGTGGAAGACCAGTGTACTTCCAAAAAGTCAATCTCGTTAAAAAGGTTTTCACAGTTAAGCTACAGTCTGCATCTTATGTGTGCTACGTGTACCAGTCTTTGCTTTGCCCATGACTCTAACTCTTTTTTCAGATAATAGGTCTTCAGATATTTGAAGACAGTCACGTAATTCCCTTAAGTCTTCTCATTCGTTCATCTGTTCAAATAAAACTACTTTGAATTCTTTTCCATCAGATTCTCATGATCTACTTCCAGATTAACACTCTCTAGTTTGTCAGTGACCAGCTTAAAAAGAAAGCATGGAGCTCAAAACAGGGCACATACCTCACTCCAGCAGAGAATACAGTGGTGGTGGGGGACAGTCAGGATATTCACTTCACTTGTTCTGGACATTAGGCTTGTATTAATAAGGCCCAATTTCAGGTGAGCTTTTTTAGCAGCTCTGAAATGTTTACTCAGACTTAGATTACAGTCAGTTAAAAACCTCTGAGGTCTCCATTATCACAGAAGTCATAATTAAGACTTAAAAAGTGGAAGGTGTAAGACAAATGAATTTTCCTTCTTCCTTTTTCATATCTCAGAGCTGATATCAGACTTGTTTCCTAAAAAACTCTCACCCACACTCAAACTAGGTGTTTGAATAGAGCTTGGACACAGAGCTAGGGTTTCTAAGTGCCCAGATTTTAAGTGAAGGCTTGTTTCTGCTCATTCCTCTTTTTGCCCCATTTGTTCCCCCAGGACTTGGGGTTTGCCTCATTAAAAAACCTTTCACACAGTCCAGTCCAGGCAGGATGGACTAGGAGAAGTAGTTCACTGTTCTGGCTCACCACTCTCCAAATCTTAACCCAAAACAAAAGGGGGACAGGAGTAGCAAATTGTTATTTTGCTTTTATCAAGTAATAATTGACTATTGGAAGACTATCACCTATGCTATGCTTAACAAATACTCCCGTTTCTTCATGTAGTTTTTAAGCAATAGGTACAACATATTCTGTAAAGGTTCTTGATATACCTGTTTTCATAATGACATGAGTAGTCTCTTCAGTAACTAGATCAGTTAAATTGATGTGGTGTTTTCTGGCAAACTTTTGCACAAGCATCTGAAATCAAATCAAATAGTACATTATAAAAATTACCTCTAGTGGTGGGAATGGAAATTAGTTCAACCATTGTGGAAAGCAGTACAGAGGTTCCTCAAAAAGCTCAAAATAGAAATACCATTTGACCCAGGAATTCCACTTCTAGGAATTTACCCTAAGAATACAGCAGCCCAGTTTGAAAAAGACAGATGCACCCCTATGTTTATCGCAGCACTATTTACAACAGCCAAGAAATGGAAGCAACCTAAGTGTTCATCAGGAGATGAATGGATAAAGAAGATGTGGTACATATACACAATGGAATATTATTCAGCCATAAGAAGAAAACAAATCCTACCATTTGAAACAGTATGGATGGAGCTAGAGGGTATTATGCTCAGTGAAATAAGCCAGGCGGAGAAAGACAAGTACCAAATGATTTCACTCATATGTGGAGTATAAGAACAAAGAAAAAACCGAAGGAACAGAACAGCAACAGAAACACAGAACCCAAGAATGGAGTAACAGTTACCAAAGGGAAAGGGACTGGGGAGGATGGGTGGGAAGGGAGGGATAAGGGGTGGGGAAGAAGAAAGGGGACATTACAACTAACATGTATAATGTGTGTGTGTGTGGGGGGCACGGGGAGGGCTGTGCAACACAGAGAAGACAAGTAGTGATTCTGCAGTATCTTACTACGCTGATGGACAGTGACTGTAATGGGGTTTGTTGAGGGGACTTGGTGATGGGGGGAGTCTAGTAAACATAATGTTCCTCATGTAATTGTAGATTAATGATACCAAAAAAAAAAAATTACCTCTAGTACATAGCTTAGAGTATTAGTTATACTAGCTTTGAGTCTCCACTTTACTTACAAAAGGTACACCTTTTTATTTTAACATGCCTGAAATCTCAAAATAAATAGTAATTTAATAAAAATTACATACAAATCAGAGGAAGAAATTCTAAACTAGTCTATGCTAGCAGCATGGAATTACAACCAAGGATTCAAAGTAATATTAGTTTTCCCTTTAACAGCAGATATCATTTAATTCCCTAAGTTTCCTTGCAGAATGACACTCTACTATACTATATTTTAGATTTATCAGCCTACACTTCATGAGCTGAAAGGTAATTAGCCTATCTAAAAAGTCATGCTACAGATATGTGGCTTAAAAACAAGATTCAATCCTTTGATAGTTATAAAACATTCAAGTCAAGATACTTCTAAAGGTCAGTGCAAAAACTATCAATTCCTTGTAAGGAGAAGGATTGGAATAGACTCATATTCTTCCCAAAAGGAATCTAGAGCCTTCTAGTTATTATCTATCAACAAAATAAAAATCAATAGGCAGTAAAAGAAATTAACCAGATCCATTATGGACACAGTTGACATTATCAGTAGCCACTGTTTGGTAAATAACTTTGTTTACCAAAGGCTATCATTTACTAGCCATCACCACCCACTGCAATATTTCTGTGTTGCACAATACTGCGATGGAGATAGGCTATCTTTCTTTTGTGCTACCTCACTCCACTGCCACAAGGCACTGAAAAGGCCAGCTAGAGAAGCTAATGATATCCTCTCCCTTTTGCACTGCCCTCTGCCAGGATCATTAGCAATTCTGAGCTGATTAATTGCTCAAATCCCAGCCTTGAAACTGTTCAGTTAGAACAGCAACTGCTGAAAAGATCATCTTAACATGAGCTTCAGAATTAATCATGTGTAATACAGTCAGCAGCTTTCATAATAAATTTACCACACTTCAGCAAGTCTGAATAGAGCTGAAAAATTTTCCTCTTTGCTTGTTTAAAGACAACATGTACCCAGGCCACGTATAGTCTAATCTCCAGCTCAGAATTGCCCACAGCAAGAAAGATTAGATCACTTTAGCCTCCTCTGAAAAGCTGAACTCATAAAACAAAGGAGTAAAGAATGCTAATTTTCAATGAATGGGAATTCTGGATATATAGGCAAATGATCAAGAACAATATAGATGGATGCAGGTATGAATTTTCAGAGCAAACAGCTGATCTGAGCATGTGGTTGTGAGATGAGAATTCTGCTAACATTATTGATGAGAATTAGCCATTGTAGTTATTGCTACAGCAGACACAGCATACTCTGTGCGGTTTTATAGCCGGACACATCTGGCCACTGAGAATATCATGCTGAGCTGCTACCTACAGAGAAGTGGGGATGAGAAATGGTTCTTATCCTAAGAAGGGCATATTAAGAAAGATTACTTAAGAATGACTGGGTTTAAAAAAAAAAAAGAATGACTGGGTTATCATTCAGTATACAATAAATGGTACCTACTATTCAAACCATTTGATACTCCAGTGTGTTATCATGGTTAAAAAAAATTCACTCAATTATTTTATTACGAAGTGATACCAATAGTAACTAATAACCTGGGAGGCAAATTTCTGAAATGGCTGAAATTTACACTCAGCCTAAGTAGAAACAAGTTATCAGTGGTCTTAATATTTTAACAGATATTTTTCCATAATCTGAAACAATTTCTGTTTCTGGAATGAGGAGCCCAACACATATTAAAATCCTAGTCAGGAGGTGGTATTGTAGGGCAGAAATGATAGGGCAGCCTACTGAATAACCATGTTACAAGCCAAGATAAACACAATTAAAAACCAGAGAAATGCCTCTGTTGGTATACTTGGAACCACTGAGGCCTTAATCATGCTGGTAAGTACACTCAGGTATACACCAAGGCAGGGAAAAGATGCCTTGTGGGGAGCAGAGCTACATCTACTGCTTTTTTAGATAAAAAGAAAATTAAAATTAAAAAGTTCTATATCATACCCAAAATAACCTTTCTGCTAATATTTAATATTTATTTTCTTGAGTAAATACACACAAAACAATTCATGCTATAGCTTTATCTTAGTCCACATTTTCAGAAAATGGTAATGGAAATTAAATTACATAGAACTGTGCTTGTTTCCTAGATTTCTTCCTACAGTTATCTGTTGCTAGTCCCTATTTAAAACTATTTACACTAGGGAGATACATATAGATATACTCACAAATTCTTTTGGGGTCAAGCCTGATGCTACCACAGACATTCTGTTGCTGACTCTTTTTGTTGAAGATAACACTTCTGGCTTTTCCCTGTTCATACTTTCTTCCCTCACAGTATACCTAGCAGTATTAATAGTATGAGCGGTAGCTGGACTTTTGGCAGATTCTTCAACTTGAAATTGGGGTAATTTCAATGCTGAGGTTGAAGTTGTCTTGCTGCAAACATGAGCCAGCTCTGGGGCTCTGTCTTCAGAGGGATCAGACTCAGGGTCATCAGAGAAGAGGCTGATTCCAGATTCTAGGTAAGGGCTTCCCTCTGAAAGCAATAGGGTAAAAGTTTAATCTACATGACAATGAATATTGAATTACAGTGTTTAGTCTCTGAATTAAAAGATCAAATTAGGTTAAGAGAAAAATGGGTAAACTAGTAATACACTCTCGGTGGAAGTGCAGAGTGGCCTAATTTTTCTAAAGGACGATTTAGCATTATGTTGCAAAAGCGTTGTGTTGTTTACACTTTCTATCAATAATTCTAGTTTTAGAAGTGTATTTTAAGGAAATAAAAGATGTATGCAAGATTTAGTTGTAGGAATGCTCATTGCAACATTGTGTGTAACAGTAAAGTTTTAGAAACAACGTAAATGTCAATAACAGGAGATTGAACATATTATGGCACATGCATTCCAATGGAGTACTCTTCAACCATTATATTTAATTACGATAAAATGGAGAAATGCACACACCCCTGTCCATTGCAGCATTGTTCACAATAGCCAAGAAGTGGAAGCAGCCCAAATAATCTATCAGTGGCTGAATGAATAAAGAAAATGTGGCACATGCACACAATGGTTTTTAAAAAGCTGAATAAGCTTTTAAAAACGAAGAAAATCCTGTCGCATGCTATAAACGTGGATGAACCTTGAAAGGCATTAAGTTAAAAAAAAGAAGTCAATCACAAAACAAATACTGTATGATTCCACTTACATGAGGTTTCAAAAGCAGTCAAACTCTTAGAAAGTAGAATGGTGGTTGCCAGGAATGGGGAGAAGGGGAAGTGGGGAGTTCTTGTGTAATGGGTACAGAGTTTCAGTTTTACAAGATGAACAAGTTCTAGAGATCTATTACACCACTGTGGGAATATACTTAACACCACTGAACCCTTAAAAATGGTTAAGATGGTCAATTTTATGGTATGTTTTTTACCACAATTAAAAATAAAAGATTTTAAAAGATGTCACCAAATTTAAGAGGTGACCCTATTTCAGACTCCTAACATGAAAAAAGTTTGCAACTTAGAATCCACTAAATGCAGTATTATAAGGTCTGCTTTCTGTAATTTTTGTCTTTTATTTTATCTAGTTCTTAGTGGATGGGTTTTGGTTCAAATGTATACTTTAATCTTTGGGCTTCTTGTGCATATTTTGGCAATTTTGAATCACTGAAACTTTTTTCAAATACCAAATGCAAATAGTTAACTAAAAACAACCAAAACAATGTTTTAAAATTTTTAAGTGAGAAATGCTCCTAATATATTAAATAGGATAGCTAAGAAATATTATTTATCAGTGTATTTTAAGAAGTTTAAGTAAATTAACTAAAGAAATATAGGAATTTTTACTGCTAATGACAAGAATACAGGTAATTTTAAATATCCTTATTATTTATATTCTTCAACTGTTTGGCAATGAATATATAGTACTTTGGTAAGGAAGGAAATAAAGGCTGAAAAATGAGACAAATGCTTGATCTTTGTTTCTTCATTCATGATACCATTACCTTTTGTTTACTTAATAAATCATCAGATATCATTACCAAATTAAAAATAGGAGACCATCCCTGAAACATTTCTGAAAATGTTATTTCATCAGGAAGTAACCATAGCTAAGTAGAAGGTATGAGATTCCTAAAACGACCTTAATGAACATGGCCAAATTCCACATTTAGATGCCAAAGAGAACCTTTATCATGCGGTTTTGAGGATTAATTTACAACTTTCTTTACTGATGAAAACTTTGATTTACAAGTCATAAAACACACCATTCAAAGTGATTTATAAGGCATAAAATATACAGTCATTTATACTCTTTAATTCATAAAATAAGAGCTTACTTTGGAGATTTGACTCATTTTTCAGTAAAGGACAGGCCTGAAACTTTATTCTTTGACCCTAGAACTCTTATATAACAGTTGAAGTAAAATATTTAGAGTGCAGCAAGACCCTCCCACCCTCAAAACTATTAGTTAAACCAATATAGACAGAATAACAGCTGCAATAATTTTCAAGTAAACTTGGATTAACTTAACATTCAGGCTATTTTTCTAAAATGGGTTTAAGTATAATAGATGTACTCATAATAGACTAGTACATCTGAAAGTTGATTAACTAGAACATCTTTAGGTAAAATTTAGAGTAAATATGTTTTCTCCATCAGAGCAGATGAAATACTACCTGGGTCTTGTCTTGACAAGTAAGGCTGCTCCATTAAATCCTGGGCCTCAAACTTAGACAGCTGTTGCTCCTCCATATCAACAACCTTGCTGAGCTCCTTTTGAGATGGGCAATTTCCATTCTGAAGACTCGAGTGGCTGTGCATATACCACCTATTATCTAGCAATGGGAGTTTAGAAGGGGAAGACCTAGAAAGAAGAGTGAAAGGAAAAAAACATCGCCACAGCTTAAGAAAGGACTAATCATACTTCCTGGGCAACCAAAATGTAAGACAGCTCATTGTCAGAGAGATTGGGAATGACTAGCAAAGAATGGCCTGAAAGTCTGGATTCGTGATGCCTGCCAACATGTCAACCCTGACATATAACATCTCCCCTTAGGGTCTGGTCCAAGGCAGTATATCTCCTAGCTATTTAAAAGCATGTCTGCAAAGTTCACCAATTATCCACTACCACTCAGATTCTATACACTATTCCACTTGAGTCCAAAAGGATGTGCTAGAATCAGCTCTCTCATGAAAATAGAAAGTTAATTAATCTTGACATCTCTACACTTATTCTTTTTGCCCAGTTTTAGCAAACTTCACAGAATCATCCTTACCCCCTACCTTTTCAATATCCAAAGTCATTCCAATAACAAAAGTTAGCTATATAAAATTTTGTTATGAAGAGCATATGTAGCCAGAAAGCAATTTCTCTACTCTTTCAGGTGTTCAGGACTTTGCTGAATAAAATATTTATTGACAGACTTAAAGGACCTCAGAGCTCAGCTAATTAATTCCAACAATGACTGGGCATTTACTATGAGTCAGGCACTAAAGCTAGGCCCTGTGGATTGAAGATGAACAAGACATGAATTGCTGCTCTCAGGTAGTCTGATGGAGGAAGTTCAATCAATGTGTAGGTTCTTTAACAGGAATCTCTAGGGGGTACACTATGGAGGGGGACGAGGAACAGGATTAATTAGTCTGAATATTAAATAGGTGGTTAGCTCAATTGGTTAAAACATGGCAATGAGGTTGTTACCTCTAAATATGTATTTAGTGTCTATGAGGTCAGATCTTTTCATTCTGTCACAGCCACAATGACAGTACTCTAGCCTCAAAAATATATCCTCAGTCCAGTCCAAGAGGCTTAGAAAACACAGTGTGATTAGATTATTGACAACTTGTCATGATTCCCAGAAAGATAAGTGAAAATATACCTATACTCAGTAGGAACTCACACAATTTCCTTTTCCTTCCTAGAGTGGCGAGAAATGTGCCTCTAAAGGCCGAGACTCTTACCTGAACTACCAAATAGGAATAATAGTCCAGAACTTGTCCTTTTATTTTCACAGTGTTGTAAAGATCAAATGAGGAAGTATGTAAAATTATTTTGAAAATACAAAGTGCTACAAAATATTATCTCAACAGTGATTCACACAGATATCCCTGAAATATATTCTGAGTATTTCAGGGGTAAATCAATAGTGGAACTTTTTCTAGAAAGGCAAAACTTCAAATTGGGCAAGGGCTACCTTGGAGAAGTTCACCATCAGCCTCCAGGATTGCTTAGGTTTTAATTCTGTATTTTATTCCGACCTTCAGAAGGAACAGATCTACAGTGCTTTTCTCATGTTGTAGTTCATGCCTTTTATTAGGTCTAAAAAGCCTTATACAATTAAACAAAAGAAGTGTAGAGCAATGAAAGGTTAGAAATGTCTATGTACAAAAAATCTAGAGAAAGTATGGTCAAAATTTGGTATAAGTAAAGACATTACTTAGATATCACAACTTGACATTTATTACTTCTTACCTTTCCATTTCTGGTTCTTTATTTTTACTGGTGGAACTATCCAGAGGTACTTGAAACTTGTCAGCAGAAAGGCTCTTTGAATTCTGCCTTATAGGGTATTCACTACTTTTCTCTGAAGTTAATACTGCTTTAAAACAGAATGAGAAAACAAAGAAATCACTTTACTGTCTTGTCCTGATGGTGGTAATTCATGTAAGGATACTGATTTTTTTCAAAAGCAGCAATCTGTGACAGTCAAATTGGTTTTTAAACAAGTACATCAAAATGAATTTTATAAACACAAGTGATGCAGTACTAAATGGAACTAAATGACTAAAAAATAATGACAATAGAAGGAACACTTTAAGACTGGGTAAATAAAGATACCCAGCTGAGACTAGGCTGAAAAAACCATATATTTATGTTTTATGGCCCTGAATGATAAGGAAACAGGAATAGGAAATGAATTTTATCTCTGCAGCCAACTAAATTATGCTCAAATTCTCTTAGGTAATAGGGAAGGGAAAGTACTGGAAAGCACAAAGCATTATTTCCTTTTCCATCCCTACTACCTCTACATTTAAGACCATACAGGATAAGGGTTTAGGCTTTTGCATGTGTGGGGAAGCAAGAGGGGAGGGGTCAGATGAGAAAGGAAAAACAGTGACATTTGCTTCACATTTTCAATTACTAAGAAAAAAATAAACCAAACAACCAATACACACAAAAACTCATGGTGCTGACTGATAAGGATCCTAAATGTAATACATGGAACTAATGATGAAATGGCACAAGAAAGTAAAAAACACAAAACAGACCCAAGGCAAAGTTGTGGCATGTTAATACATCCTTTTTATTAATTCTTCCAAATGCATTATTGTGCCACTGCTTTCTAGGAAGTGGCTTAAAGGCAGAAATATATAAAAAGCAGAACAAATACTAAAAAATCATGTCTCTTATCCATTAAAAAGTCACTAACCACTGTAATTTATTTTGAGCTTTTATTAGAAAAGCCAAAATGCATAAATTGAGGAAGAATATTTTAAACAAAGGGCTGTATTAATTAAACTGTCTTTTAAGATACTGGGTAGCCTGGGGGGAAATAATCATTGATTTTGAGTTAATCTTCAAATGCATTATTTATAGTTTCCTTTATGTTCATTTTTTCTGGACCTGTGAGTTTCTAGGAAGACAAGAACTCTGCCTAGAGCTACCAACTGCTGAAAGCAAGCAGGGTCTAACAATGAACCAGCAGGTTTTTCTTCTAACTGGGCACATAAAGCTTTTTAATAAAGGTATCATTTCTCCCCATATACAGGGTGATAATTGAAAGGAGGTAATGTGCAATCTCTAATCACATCAAACAGAACTAATCATTGAAAAGGGTTTAAAAAAGCAAAAGTGAAAGGGCTAGTGGGAAGCCTCCAACACAAACACAGATATAGGCATAACATGGAAATATTGCGGGTTCTGTTTCACATCACTGCAGTAGAGAGAATTCACAATAAAGCGAGTCAAATAAATATTTTTTTTGTTTCCCAGCACAAAAAGTTATGTTTACACTACACTGTAGTCTATTGAAGTGTGTAATAGCATTATATGACAAAAAATATACACACCTTAATTTAAAAATACTTTATTGCTAAAAAATGCTGTCATCTGAGCTTTTAGTGAATCTTAATCACTGATTACAGATCACCAAAGTAAATATAACAATGAAAAAGTTTGAAGTATTGAGAGAATTACCCAAATGTTACACAGAAACACAAAGTGAGCAAATGCTGTTGGAAAAATGGCACCAATAGACTTGCTCAAATAGGGTTGCCACAAACCTTCAATTTGTAAAAAATGTAATATCTGCAAAGAGCAATAAAATGAGATATGCCTGTATTAAAAAGTCATTCTATCACTTGAACATTTAGCATATGAGTTCCTCTTTGTACTACAATTGGGCTTAAGCTATGAAGAAAATAAGTTAACTTGAGTTAGGATTCAGTAACTCAATATTGCCTAAAAACATGGCAAAACTTTTCTGCTCTTCTTTTTTCTTAATCCTATTATGAATGCAGGGATTCAGAGCTGTACTAGAACAGTAACTTAGTCCCCCTTAAGTCATTCCCTCACCTGGGGGGTCTTAACCTGTTATATTCTTTATTGGTAGGACGTATGCTCCAGACCAGATATTTAATAAATTTACTGCCTCCCTATGCTGTCCTAAGCATTATGCAAAGCATTGGGAAGAATCAAAGGAAAATAAATTGAAGAGGAAAGAGATCTTAAGAAATGATAAACTATAAAATACAGAACCCATAATGAAATTCAGCTTTAAAAAGTACATAACCCCTTCACCTCAACTGATTCAGAATTTTCAGGAGAGGAGCCTAGGAATTTTTAACAAGTGGTTCCAGCAATGAACACAGTAGGACAGAAAAGTCAGGTATGTCTGAAAATTACTTCCACTGTAATGGGCTACATTTTACAAATTTTACAAATGCTAATGTTTGCTTTATGAATGACAGATAATCCAGGAGTAAGGAACAACAACAAAGTACCTAATATGAAACAGATTTACCTGTGGAGGAAATACACATAATTCATAATGGGTAAATACACATATTTGCACAAAAATGTTATGTAGGCTTGGGAATGACCCTTAGATAAACAATAGGGCAGATCTATGCTGAGGGTAAGACATTTGATGTAAAGGACCTAAAGAAAGGGCTTTTATGGTCTTTAAGAATACTGGATCTTAAAAATAAAAATTGGTGAAATCCAAGTTAAGTCTAGAGTTTCCCTTGTTACTAGTAATGTACCAATGTTGGTTTCTTAGTTCTGACAAAGTACCATGGTGATGTAAGATGACATTAGAGGTAACTGAATCTAGGTAAGGGGTAGAGTTCCCGTAGTAACTCTCTATATTTCTGTACTATCACTACTACTTTTCTATAAATCTAAAACTATTCAAAAATAAGTTTATTAAAAAGACACATCAGTATAGTTGAAGGTAAACAAAACTCATTTTCCTAGGATTGAGAAGTTTGCTTGCATTTCAGTTAGACTCATACCAATTTAAGAGAGAAGAAGGCACAAAACTTGAGTTGGTATTAAGTTTATGCTCAAAACATTTCAGAAATAAAGCCACAAAATTCCAGAATTCATACCCAGAAATATTCTTTCAGTAAGTCTGATGTGGGTTTCAGAGTTTTAATCATGTGAAGTAAAATATTTATCAAGTACCTACTATGTTCCAGGCACAGGTCTAAGGGTTCTCTGCCCTTAGGGAGCCTACATTCTAGTGGGAGGTAAGGAGGAACTCTGAACAACAAGCAAAACAAATTACATATTACTAAAAGTTGGAATAAAAGCTGTGAAAAAAATAATCATATAACAGGGTAACATGGGGCTGGAAAAGTCAGAGAAGTAAAAGCTACAATAAAAAAAGTGTCAATAAATGGTGTCCAGAAACTGGGCAGCTACATCCAAAAGCATAAAACTCGACTACTTCCTCACATCATACACAAAAACAAACTCAAATGGATTAAAGACTTAAATATAATACCTGAAACCATAAAACTATAAGAAAACAGGCAGTAAGTTCTTTGACATTGGTCTAAGTGATATTTTTTGGATCTGTCTTCTCAGGTAAGGACAACAAAAACAAAAATAAACAAATGGGGCTACACCAAACTAAAAAGCTTTTGCACAGTGAACAAAACCATGAACAAAACAAAAAGGCAACCCACTGAATGCAAGAAGGTATTTTCAATGACATATCTGATAAGGGGTTGATGCCCAAAATGTAAAAAGAACTCAGAAAAATCATTATCAAATAAACAAACAATCCAATTAAAAAGTGGGCAGAGCAAGATACGGAAGCAACCTAAGTGTCCATCAGTAGATGAATGGATAAAGAGGTGGTACATATACACAATGGAATACTATTGAGCCGTAAGAAACAAATCTTACCATTTGCAATAACATGGTTGGAGCTAGAGGGTATTATGCTCAGTGAAATAGGCCTGGCAGAGAAAGATAAATAACAAATGATTTCACTCATTTGTGGAGTTTAACAACAAAGCAAAACTGAAGGAACAAAATAGCAGCAGACTCAGAGACTCCAAGAAGGGACTAGTGGTTAGGAAAGGGGAGGGGTGGGGAAGGGTGGGTGGTGTGGGAGGGAGGAGGGGATCGTGAGGTATCATGATCGATGCACAAGGTGTGTGTGGGGTCACGGGGAAGACAGTGTAGTTCAGAGAAGACAAATAGGGACTCTATGGCATCTTACTACACTGACGGGCAGTGACTGCAATGGGGTATGGGGGGGCCTCGACAATAAGGGTGAATGTAATAACACATTGTTTTTCTTATGAAACCTTCATAAGAGTGTATATCAATGATACCTTAAAAAAAAATAAAAAGTGGGCAGAGGACCTAAATAGACATATTCCTGAAGAAGACATGTAGATGACCAACAGGCACATGAAAAGATGCTCAATATCACTAACCTTAAGGAAATACAAATCAAAACCACAATAAGATATCACCTCATATCTGTCAAATGGCTATTATAAAAAAGACAAATATGTATTGGTGAGGATGTGGAGAGAAGTGAACCCTCAGGCACTGTTGTTGGGAATGTAAACTGGTGCAGCCACTATGGAAAGTAGTATGACACTTCTAGGTATTTATCCAAAGAAAACAAAAACATTAATTTGACAAGACATATGCACTCTTATGTTCATCCCAAATTATTGACAATAGCCAAGTAAAGGAAGCAAACCCAAGTTTCCATTGACAGATGAATGGATATAGATATGGTCATACATACAATGGAATATTGCTCAGGCATAAAAAGAATGAAATCTTGCCATCTGAGACAACATGGATGGACCTATAGGGTATTATGCTAAGTAAAGTAAGTTAGAGAAAGACAAATACCATATGATTTCACTTATATGTGGAATCTAAAGAAGTAAAAAAAAACGAACAAACAAAACAAAACAGAAATAGATTCATACAAAGAACAAACTGATAGTTTTCAGCCAGGAGGGTGTTGGGAGGATGGATGAAATAGGTGAAGGGGATTAAGAGATACAATCTTTCAGCATAGGGAACATAATCAACATTGTAACAATTTTGTATGGTGACAGATGGTAATTAGACTTATTGTGGTGAATGTTTCATAATGTATATCAATATTAAATCACTGCTGTGCCCCTGAAGCTAACACAATGGATATGTCAATTACTCTTCTCTTCAATAAAAAATGAAAAAAAAAAAAGGTGATTATGGTAGATCTCATTGAGAAGAAGCATTGAGCCATATGACCTACATATTCAACATACTCAATTGTGCCAATTTAAATAGTCATGGAAGACTGTGGAGTTGGGTGAGGGGACTTTTTTAAATCAGGAAATTCACATAAGCCTCTCCTTCCTCTTGTCAACATTTACTCATGGATGTTAACTTCAGGACAAAGTAGACCAATGAATAAGTTTACTATAAAAAATAGAGTAGAAGCTCCTAACAAAAATATTTTATATAGAGATTTAGAAGAAATTTTCAAAAATGTTTTCAAATCCACAGTAAAATAAATGTACAAAAATATAGCACTTAAGAAATTAAATAAAAAGAAAGCCACAAAGAAATATTTTGTCTACAGATCTTCAGGAAAAAAATGAACACACATTGCCCCTACAAGGATGGGATAGTAGATTTACACACATATTCAAACATTAACAATAACATTTTATGTTTTATGCACTGAAATTGACAGTCTAGTACATTTTTAGACTGAAGATAGTGAAAGCACCCCAAAGAAGAGAACTATGCTGGAAACAAGACTTTGGGCTTCATTATCTGGAAGATGAACTAAATGAAGATACAGCTACAAAGAAAGCATTTAAGGAAAATACATTTTGAACCACTGCCATAGCAACAGAGTTCCTAGCTTCTCATGCACGAGCTACTGTTTCTCTCTGAACATAAAAATACTGCAAGGCACGCTCTGGGACCAAGGCCACCATTCTGAATAATTAAGACTTGAATTCCTAGAAAGCCTCAAAGGAAGCCCTATGGCTGCCAGTAGGACTGGGGCAGGCAGTGACAAAGGAACTTTGAGATGAATAGGTATCACTGAGATAGTAGTGAAAGAACACTTTCGAGGGCTAACCAAGCCTGCATGTTTCTAAGAACCCTCTGGACCCCATGCCTGTGTCCAGCCTCTTGTCTATGTATCTATACATTTGCCCCTATTAAAAAACCTGCCTATGAAAACCTATATGCTAACAAGTTGGAAAACCTAGGAGAAATGGACAACTTCCTAGAAAAATACAACCTTCCAAGACTGACCCAGAAAGAAACAGAAAATCTAAACAGACCAATTAGCAG